AAATTGAAATCGATTTTAGAATACCCTTCTAATATATTTGCAGATCATTTCCATATCGCGGAATACTCCTGACTGTAGTAGGACGGTATAAGAGATCACCATTCTAGATTTATTGATGATCACAATAGATTAACGTTAAACTTTTTCGGAGTTTACATTTTTTTTGCCGAATCTTAGGTTAGCATACTAAAATTATTGCATTATAATGATTCAGAATTAATGATCAAATTTCTAATTTTCGAATGAAATGAGCGATCTATAAATTCTATTTTTTTATGTATGATAAAACGTAATATATCATTAAAAAATTTTTTATTTCATTTTCTGATAATTTCAAAACAGAGATAACAACAGGAGTTTTTAAACCCAACTTATTTTCGTAATAAGGTTCAAAACTGCTATACGACGATTACCTGGGAGGTTGATTGGAAAATTCAACATAAAACACAAATAATTTTGAATCTCGAACATAGTTGGAAGTGTTGATTCTAATTTTTTACGCTCAAAAAAAAAAAAAAAAAAAATTAAAATAACAAAATATATATATATATTATTATGTCAAGCTTAAATTATATTGTGTTCTGAATATTTGATATATTTATTATTAAACACGACATAAAATTTAAACGTTGAGTAGATTGTTAATTGTGATTTGAAAAAAATGACATGTTCAGATAGTATGTAAAACTATTTATTAAAGCTTTATATTAAAACTTATGATTTAAAATCTCTATTATCTTGGTCAATACGTTTCACTTGTGCTTGTTTTTAGCTGTTATTTATTATCGCTGCTGTCATTATCACTTTGAACTTTCAAAATAACGTCGGTTTCGCTTGCCACTTTTGGAACTTCTTTTTCTTCTTCCCCCTTGCTATCAACGATAAAAGGTAAAAAAGGTAAACCTGGTGAAGTAACATTTAAGGTTTGTTGAGTAATGTTATTTTGATTGTGACCATTTTGACTTTGCTCACTATCACCAACACCACCACTTTTATCACCAGTATCGCCATAACCATTATGGCCTGCATCTCCGCCTGGTTTACTCGTTCGTTCAACACTATTATGATTTGTGTACCCCTTCCCATCGCCATTGTGAGAATCATCATTATAATTATTATCACCTTTGCGTTTACGGCGTTTATTACTTATCTTTCTAATTATACATACAACTATTGTAATAACAACAATTCCAGCCACACATGAGGCTACAATAATTAAAGACTTAAGACCATCAAATGATACTGATGGTTCCTCGGGCTTGGAACTAGCGGTAGATGAACTAGCGTGCGAAGTAATTGTAATAACCACTTGACTTGGAGGCTGAGATTGAGCTTTGGCTATATTATATTTGATTAACAATAATTAATAATTAAATGATTTCAAGAACATATAAAAAATTTAGTTGAGATAAGCATAAACTAACCTTGTATTATGAATGCCAAAACTACCACAGTCATGATTAAAAGTTTATGAAATTTGGTTTTTAAATTTTGAATCATTTTGTTTTTAATTTTTTATCGTAACAATTAAGTTGAACTTGCAGAGAAAAGTTGATGAAATTAAAATGTTAACTAAAAGATTCATAAACATTTAAATGTCAATATTGTATACAAAATACGAATTAGATATATGTTGTGCTTCAGATTAACACTTGCGTAAGATCTTTCCTCGACCTGAGTTAGGGTTTAGAATTAAACCATAGTTTAAGCTGATCTGTTAATTCTGGTTAGATTATCATTATTCAGCTGACACCTAAGCAAGTGTTAATCTGAGGCACAACACATATATCATTACTGCTCAATAAATAGATTGTACCTTTTTAGAACCAAAATTAGATTTGTGTGATGCATTGTCAAAAAAGGGTCTCTCATTTGTAAATTTTTAAGCAAAAAATGAAAATTTTCAAATGGTTAAGATAAACAATTTTTTTTATATGCCATAATTCATTCTTACGATGCGTTTGTGCTAGGATTAGTTTGGGCTAAAATTAGTTTGGAAACATAATGCTGTACCATTTAGCACAAATGGATTAAATTAAATGGTTCTGCAGAAATATTTGTAATAAAATCGCATTTAAATCTAATTTTGCATGCGATCTACATTTTATATAATCCCTACCATTTATTAGCAGTGATCTGTTTGTCAACTTTCATTTCACTGAAATTACGATAATGTGTAATTAAAATCATATAATGCGACTAATATATTAGATGGGCGCTATTGACACCCTAGAATTTTAAGTTCAGATAAGGCTTAATATATAAAAAATGTATTTCATACCATAAATTTTAGAAAATTCATTTAATCACAGCATTTGGTATCATATTAATCACTCAAAAATCATACTGAGTTTGAGAATTGTTATCATAAATTGCTAAATTGTATCAGTTAAATTGTGATAATTTTATAAAATTTTAAATTTAACACCCAGTTATCATTGTAATTTTAAATTACTTGGTCCTTTTGGGACTGATTCATCACTACACAGCATATTCATGTTATGCAGTAATGCTATATTTTCATCACATCAACTCTTCAATTGATTCTTCAAATTTAAAATTGTTTTTTTTCAATTTTCCGTTGCGCCTCTTCACAATGTTCTCAAATCCTTCACTGTTTCTCTTCATAATAAAAGGGAGAAATCACAGGCGTTAAAGAAATTTAGAATTAACTTTCCATCTTATTGTGCATGATACACGATGCATTTCCAATTACAAGTACAAATTTGCCCATGCCATCGCTCTACGCCAAGAACCCAACTTGAAATTTATTGTAGTACGTAGATATATCAGAATCCCACTTTAAAAAATTTATTGTAATACACACATTTATATATGATTTTCAACTATTAATCTATAAAGAATGCAACAACTTAATAAATAGTAATATATCGTTGTAATGCATATTGCCGTTCTTGATTAAAAATCGGACGGAGTGCATATGACTACTGAGTACGAGTAATTTAATTTCCCTAGAAACGAGTTGAGCTCACCTGGAGTGCCTCATATTAGAAAGGTAAGTTTGAACGATAATCAACAAAAAAAAATTTTTTAATTAAATGTTTATTTTGTGTATCTTTTCATTATGTAATCAGCATTTGCAACTTGTATATTTAAATGTATTTCTATTCAAAAATTAAATAAAATTTTTTTCTCAAAAAATTGTCCTTTTAATATGAGGCACCCATCTTATAGTACGCGGTTATAAAGATTGCAAATTGCCTTTGCAGATTTTATATAAATACAGTTTATATTAATATTTGTTTTACACGATTGCATAATTATTTAATTAAAAAAATAAATGATGGATAATTTCGTTAATAAAGTATACATACTTATACTTGCTTTTGGAATAATTGGAGTGGTAGCAAGGCCCTATCCCAATGAAGTTGCAAATAACCGCTTTGACATAAGAAATTTGCATAAACGATACTACACTACGGTATTTACAACATATGTTACAACCTCAACATATACTACATACTCCATATACACATTCTGCACACCGAATCCAAATACAAAGCCGCCTGATATGAAGCCACAAGATATGAAGCTGCAAGATACGAAGTCACAAGATACGAAACTGCAAGATATGAAGCCGCAAGATACGAAGCTGCAAAATATGAAGCTGCAAAATACGAAGCTGCAAAATACGAAGCGCAAGATATGAAACCACAAGATACAAAGCCGCAAGATATGAAACCGCAAGATACGAAGCCGCAAGATACTAAACCGCAAGATACGAAGCCACAAGATACAAAACCGCAAGATACAAAACCGCAAGATACAAAACCGCAAGATACGAAGCCACAAGATACAAAACCGCAAGATACAAAACCGCAAGATACGAAGCCACAAGATACGAAACCGCAAGATACAAAACCGCAAGATACAAAACCGCAAGATATTAAATCGCAAGATATGAAGCCGCAAGATACGAAACCGCAAGATACAAAGCCGCAAGATACGAAACCGCAAGATACGAAACCGCAAGATACGAAACCGCAAGATACTAAACCGCAAGATAAGAAGCTGCAAGATATGAAGCCGCAAGATACAAAGAAGCAGCCAGATAATACAAAGAAGCAGCCAGATAATACAAAGAAGCAGCCAGATAATACAAAGAAGCAGCCAGATAATACGAAGAAGCAGCCAAACTATCCAGGGAAACGAGAACCTCAACCTTATATATCATCAGTGTGTTCAGTATTTACTATACCATATACTACATATACCATATTTAATAATGTAGATATTACAGTAATTTGGGTATCACCAACACCAGCACCACCTGTGGATACCTATGTTCCACCACCATCTGTGGATACCTATATTACATCACCACCATTTACAACAGAATCATCACCAACACCATTGACAGAATTTTCAACAGTACTATCGACAGAATTATCGACAGTTCCATCGTCGACACCATCGTCTACTTTATCGTTAACAAAATCTGCTAGTTCACCGCCAACATCGAGTAGAAATAGGTAATATTTTTTTCTTATGCCAAAATATTTCATATGAAAGATACAATGTTAATTTATATTAATCGCTTTTTTAAATATCAAACTTTAGTCCTGCAGTTACATCTGCTGTTGTTATTTCAGCAGCAAGTTCCTTATACAATGAATTAACTGCTTTCAATATCGCAATTGGGTTAATTAGTTTTACTTTTATTATTAATCAATTCATTTAAAAGCATATCTTAAAATTTATCGTAAAAACTGATCAATATAATTAGTTTTTTTTATTGATAATAAAGTATTTTATAAATAAAGTATTTTATAATATATATTTTTATTAAAAACTTATTTACTAGATTACCGATATTTTTTTAACATCTTATTTTCTAACACATTAATGTCGGTTATAATTAGTTATAGGGATAACATACCTAGCTCTTGGGATATGTTGTATAAAAAAGTAATGTAACCATCGTTTCGTATTTTATGATCGTTTATTTGAAGTCAATGACACTATAAAAAATGAATAAATAATGGATTGGTACATGATTTAGCTTCACTTGATTACTAAATAAAACCTTTATCTTAACTTTGTCAACGCGTTAACTTAAAAATGATGAGTACAGTAAGGAATGAGAAGGTTTTGAATATGAATCATAGTGAAATATTTACAGGGAAATGCAATTTTCAGCGATAAGATGGACTGGAACACAAAAAAAATGGGTTAAGGCAACTCGCCAGAGGTGTTACTATGGTGATTTGAGTCTTATCTTTATCTGGCTTACTTGTCGTTCAATATTGTTATAGTTTTTATACAATTTTTATCACCATTGTGAAAATCATCATAATAATTACTATCGGCTTTGTGTTTACAGTGTTTATTCACCATTATGCATACAATAATTGCAATAACAACACTTTCAACCATACATAAAACCGTAATAATTAAAGGCTTAAACCTGTCTAATAATACTGATGGTTTTTCAGACTTAATACTTGTGATATTTAATAGAGTCTGCGATTGAGCTTGGCTATATTATATTTAATTAACAATAATTAATATAAAAATTTAGTTGAGATAGGCATAAACTTGTATTATGAATGCCAAAACGTCAAACTATCATAGTTACGATTAAAGTTCATGACTAATTTTTAAATTTTGAATCATTTTCTTTAATTCTCTACCTATAAATTGCCGTGAATGATGCTGAAGTCTGATGATGCTGTAATTTGGAGTCTTGATTTGAAAATATAAGTCTTACAGAATCCACCTATACTTTTTAATTTACAACTCTAACCCTAAATTCATATCAAAATCATACATGAAATAGATACAAATTTTAGCATCATCCACTTTCAGCATCATCCGTGACATAAATTACTATTGATTACTATTGATTACATATGAGCTCTTTTTTAGAATTGTACTAAAATATATATAATTTGACATTTTTTTAGCAGTGAATAACTATTGATCTACTAGCTTGTTTTAAATAAAACAACTACCAAAATGTTTATCTTGATGAGAGGATTCTAATGAATTCAAAATCATCAAAATCCAATCACTAAATTACAAGATAATTGAAGTTTTTGCAGTATGACGCACCTATAGGGTGGGACAATTGGTTAGCCTATAGTCTAACCAATTGTCCCACCCTATAGGTATGTCATATTGCAAAAAACTTCAATTATCTTGTAATTTAGTGATTGGATTTTGATGATTTTGAATTCATTAAAATCCTCTCATCAAGATAAACATTTTGGTAGTTGTTTTATTTAAAACAAGCTAGTAGATCAATAGTTATTCACTACTAAAAAAATGTCAAATTATATATATTTTAGTATAATTTCAAAAAGGAGCTCATATGATGTATTATTATTACTGTACTGCTCAATAAATAGATCGTACCTTTTCAGAACTAAAATTAGATTTGTGGGATGCACTACCAAAAAAGGGCCACTCATTGGGAATCTTTAGGAAAAGAATGAAATTGTCCAAGGTTAAAACAAATAATATTTTTTTTATACTCATAATTCATTCTTACGATGCGTGTGTGCTATGATTAATTTGGCTAAGATTAGTTGGGACATATAATGCTGCATCATTAAGCACAAATGGATTTAATTAAATGATTCTACCGAAATATTTGTATTAAAGTTCTTGATTTTGAATGCAAGCGAGATTTACATATACCTGACAGTATTTAATTCCATATAAAACACGCTATCGCTATTACTTTTATTAAAATAAATACATGAAATTTACATTAAAAATATATAAATTTTTGCATTATAGTGTTATTGCATTTATTGCATCTATCGCTGTTATTTATTTATCCAATTTATTAACCTTCATTACAGTCAATAATACCCTGAATAAGGTTTATTGCAAAGTTTGCAATGTCGTTTATCACCGATTTTAGTAAGTTCATTCCAGAAAGGGTTCCTTTTTAATCGCTTTCGTTATTTCCATAAGCGTTCCAGATTCAAGTGCATTCTGAGATATCGAACTTGAAGAGGTAGGTTCAGTTGAATCAATAAGTTCTTCAAACGTATTGTCTTCGTCCATCGAATAGTGAAATTAAGTAATATATATATATATATATATATATATAAGAGAAAGTCGCATATTTATATTAAAAAAAAAGACTAATTGTCGTCATATCATGCCACATTAAATTAGCTTTTAATTAAAAAAAAAAGTCAAAAAAGAAACTGATTTTTGTTCGTCATTATGATAGTAATTTTTGTTCGTCATAACAATAGTAATTAAAAGTCTAAAGTTCATTACAAATCAAGCGTTGCTCATCCGATCTATTCCAAACTCGTTTAGAGCATGATATGATAATAAAAATCATGTCGCAAAAACTCGAGTTCCATTGGGTTCGGTTCCAAACTGAGTTCGGGCAAGTAGGATGACATCCCTAATTCATTAGTTATATATCAGTCCAGTCCAATGTCCCAGTCACTAATAAGACCGATCCACTAATGATTTTCAGTTTAGTCTTGGTTTCTAAATGGTCTTTAATAATTTATAGATGTTTTTATAAATCCTAAAACAGCTGAAAAATTTCTAAATGATCGAATCAATAAGTTACTGATGTTGGCGAGTCACCATTAATTTTCAAAGTGTCTCGGAATTTAACATCTTAAATCTTATGTACCATATTCTTTTTAATAATTTATTGTAGTTATCGTATGGGTCTGACGTAACAACCCTATTTAACCTATTTTTTTATTGATAATGCTTTTTTTTCTCCTTATTCGTGAAACTTCTGACACATTTGTGCTTAGTTTTTCGTTTCAAAGTATCAAACAACAGCCTTACGGTTAACGATACAGAAGCCGAGCAGCCAGCAATTTTTTTTTTCGATTTGCTTTGTTTTTTTTTTATTTTTTTTTTTTAAGAGTGAGGTCTGGCCTCAATCTTTATTGAATTATTATGCATTACATTATGTCAGAATGAATTACATAAATTATTACAGGGACCTACAGCCAGAACTAATTTACCCTCGGCACAAAGCTCTACTAGAGAGGCTGGCTACCTGGCCTCCACTAGATTTAGTTTGACTATATATACCGATATGTTTTGTAGTGGGGAAGATGTTTGACCACATATTGTATTGTATTTAACCGTACTGATGGAATGGGTAGGGGTTGTCGGAAGCCCAGCAGTTAAGAAATCGCTTATTATAAATACTAAAACACATCGAAATCATAAATAAAGGGCGAAAGGCATTGTAAATGAATTAGCCATTTAGAAATAAATAATATTTTTCTAAATTACAAAAAAGATAATAGTTTCACATTCGAATTAATATTAATCCTCACACAGCAAATGAGAATTTTAAAAAATTACCAGACCTAATATGATCTTCGAACTGTCAATAAGAATTATAAAAAATCACCCAACCTAATATTAGTTTTTACATAATAAATGAAATTTTTAATAAAAAATCATTGAATATAATATTAGTCTTCGCCTAATAAATAAGAATTTTAAAAATGTTCAACCTAGGGATGGGCAAATCGAATCTACTGCGCAGGCTGCGCAACCTACGCGCACAACCTGCACAGCCCCAATCCCTCTAGAGTCTAGGGTTCATGATTATATATATATATAAAATATCTACTTCGTATGTATAAAGTTAGGCTCCCATTATTTTTATTAGTGTTTCAAGGTCAGTTTAAATATCAGTTTTCGAGTTTTGCGTTTTTTCACTTGTAGCTCTTTCACATAAATTTTGACTTTTTTTAAAACTTTTAGCAAAGTTTTTACGACAACCACCTGATAAATTTCGATAAAAATTTTTTTATTCAAATTTTACTAGTTTGTAGATTCAGGTACAAAAAAAGGTTTCATGGAAATTTATCAGGTTATTGTTAAGGAAACTTAGTTCAAGGTTTAAAAAATTTATTCAAAGTTTTAAAAATTTAGGCGGGACTTCTTTATAGACGAATTTTTTTTAAATCTTTGAGCAAAGTTTTCTCACCAACCATCTGATCAATTTCGATGAATTCTTTTTATTCGAATTCTACAAGTCTGTAGAATTCAAATAAGAAAATTTTATCAAAATTAATCAGATAATAGTTGTCAAGAAAACTTCGCTCAAACCTTTAAAAAATTTAGGCGTACCATCTCAATACACGAGATAAATTTCTTCAAATCTTTGAGTGAAGTTTTCTCTGATAAATTTCAATGAAATTTTTTTTTTTATTTGAATTAAAATTTTTCGTCGAAATTGATTAAGTGATTGACGTGAAAGCTTCATTCAAAGTTTTAAAAATCATCAAAATTTATAAAGGATCTCTCACGTGACTCAGGAGAGAAAACCAATCGTTAATAATTTTGTTTAAATTTGCAGATCATTTGGCCAGATCTAGAACAAAATAATTTTAAATCTAGTAAAATGATCTGCAATTTTGTCTATAGGTATGAATCTATGATTTTTTTCGTAATCGTATACTTACCTAATTTTGGTAGCGGTACTAACTACCATTTTGATATACAACAAAGTAAATAGTACAGTAATGGACAATATTTATTGATAAGATTAGAATTAACTGCAATTATTGCTTTGCGGTACCCAGTGATGCACCAGCGCACAACAATAATATGGTAATAGAAGAGAACTTGATACCAACAGGAATATTTAATGTATGCAACTCATGGATAAAATTGGCGCACAA